CATTGTTGATAAATACTGCATTAAAAGCTAAATCTAGTAATTATTTTTAGGTCATTCTTTGAAAAAAAAAGTTATTTTATTTTTAAATGATTATCAGTAAAATTAACACATAAAATTAAAAAATTCCCATTGAACTTTCTAAAGCACTTGCTTATATTCTTGGAATCAAATTTGAGAAATATTGCTGCCAGCCCTGGGGGCAAAGGTAAGGCACTACAAGGTATGATGCAGGAAATTGACATATTTTTATTTTCCTTTCATAAATCACTTTGTTGGCTATTAAAAGGGAGCTCTGGTAGCATAGTGGCTAAAGCACTTGACTGCTAACCAGAAGGCTGGCGGTTCAAACCCACCAGCCACTCCTCGGAAGGAAGGTTGGGCAGTCCTACTTCCGTAGTGATACTGCCTCGGAAACCCAAGGAGGGGTCGCTATGAGTCGGGGGTCGACTCGACGGCACATAACAACAACAACAACAACAACAACATGGTTAAGTATTGGTAGCTCATTAAGAGACCCTTCTATTAGTTCTAATATGGAGTGATGAGAGAAATGAACCAATTAATTACAGTGGAAAGGAAAATAAGGGGCTTAACTTGGAAAAAATACAAAAGAGAAGCCAAGTAATTGACTGGTTGTAGACAATAAAATAGAAATAAATACATCTCATTTTATGACTTAGGTTACTGGGCAGATGATGGTGCTACCAAATGAAATAGAAGTAGTTTCAGAGGCACTATGCCAAGGTCAGGTTTGATCACGTACAGTTCAAACAACTGGGGGAAATCTAGGCATAAATGTTCACCTAGAAATTGGACACAAGAACCAAAGGTTGGAGAAATGATCTTGGCTGAAAATACATTTTAAGATTCATCAGTGTGTAGGTGGTATCAATAAGAATAGTTATGATCTCTTAGGGGAGAGTACTGGCAGTGAATAGAACACAGGATCAAAGAGGTCTCTGAGGAGTATCAGTATCTCAGACTACATGGAGAAAGAACAGTCATCAGCAGACAGAGGAAAAGATATTAGAGAAGTACAGGAAGAATTAAAATAGGATAGTGCTGTGACAGTCAAAGAAACAGTTCAAAAAGAACACAGCAGAGAAGTCCAACAAAATAAAGAAAAAAATATCTTTTGGAATTTCCAATTAAAATATCACTGGTGGTCTTAATCTTACAGTTTTCATCAGTCAAGGTAGTAGACAGAGGCTAGAGTTCTATGGGAAGAAATTAAGTTAAGAATGGTCAGCTCTTCTGAGAGCTTTGATCAGGAGAGTATAAAATGGGCAATCATGCAGACAAATTTGGGATGGCATTAAGCAATTACAATCGAAGACCGAAAAAAAAAAAAAAAAGAAGAAACAGACATTTTGAAAATGAGAGAAAATAGGAATGGCATGTATGGCGTGGCCCTAGAAAAGGGAGAAGAAACCTGAGTCAAGGACCCAGGTTATACTTAGTGATGTAGAAATAAACTTTTCCCTGAGACTGAAGGATGAGAATGTGTAAGAGATGTCACTTGACAGTTCATATTTTCTTTAAGTTAGAGACAGAAGAATATTACTTGAATGTTGTGTTTGGTGCTGTTGAGTTATGTACCCTATGCACACAGTGACCCTATATATACAACAGACTGAAACGCTGTCTGGTCCTATGCCATCCTCACAACTGTTGCCATGCTTGAGTCCATCCTTGTAGCCACTGTGTCAATCCAGCTCATTGAGGGTATTTCTTTTCTTTTTCTTTTTTTCACTGACCCTTTAATTTACCAACCACAACATCTTTCTCGAAGGACTGGTCCTGTCTGATAGCATGACTAAAGTTTGAGATGAAGTTTAGCCATTCTTGCTTCCAAGGAGCACTCAAATATACTTCCTCCAAGATGGATTTGTTCATTCATCTAGCAGTCCATGGTATATTCAATATTCTTTGCCAACACCACAATTCAAATGCATCAATTCGTCTTCTTTGGTTTTCCTTATTAATTGTCCAGCTTTCACATGCATATGAGGTTACTGAAAATACCATGGCTTGATTCAGGCATACCGTAGTCTTCAAAGTGACATCTTTGCTCTTAAACACGTTAAAGAGCTCTTTTGCTGCAGATTTGGCCAGTGTAGTATGTCATTTGATTTGTTAATCACTGCTTTCATGGGCCTTGATTGTGGATCCAAGTAAAATGAAATCCTGATAACTACAATGTTTTTTCCATTTATCATGATGTTTATTGAACAAGTTGTAAGGAATTTTGTTTTCTTTATGTTGAGGTGAATGTAGCCTTTGATCTTCATCAGTAAGTGCTTCATCAGTAAATGCAATAGTTCATCAGGGTGTGGCAGTATGGATTACGTCTCAATATAAAGAAAACAAAAATCCTTACAACTGGACCAATGAGCAGCATCACAATAAATGGAGAGAAGATTGAGGTTGTCAAAGAATTCACGTTGCTTGGTTCTACAATCGATGTCAACGGAAGCAGCAGTCAGGACATTAGATGATGTGTAGCATTGGGAAAGTCAACAGCGAAGGAACTGTTTCAAGTGCTGAGGAGCAAGGATATCTCCTTGAGAACTAAGGTGTGCCTGACACAAGCCATGATATTCCAATCGCCTCATATGCATGTGAGAGCTGGACAACGAATAAGGAAAACCAAAGAAGAGTTGATGCTTTTGAGTTGTGGTGCTGGCGAAGAATGCTGAAAGTACCATGGACTGCTAAAAGAAATAACAGATCTGTCCTGGAGGAAGCGCAGCCAAAATGCTCCTTGGAAGCAAGAATGGCCAGACTTCATCTCACCTATTTTGGTCATGTTGTAAGAAGGGACCATTCCCTGGAGAAGGATGTCATGCTTGGTAGGGGAGGGTCAACGAAAGAGGGGGAGGCCTTCAACGACATGGATTGACACGGTGGCTGCGATGATGGGCTCAAGTATAGCAGGGATTGTGGGGCTGGTGCGGGATCGGGCAGTGTTTCGTTCTGCTGTGCATGGGGTCGCTATGAGTCGGAAACGACTCGATGGCACTTAACAACAACAACCACCACACATCTGGAGGACTATCTTATTTGTTTCCTTCTTATCCTTCACAAAATTAGAAGTGGATAAGTTAGTAGAATATGGAGCTTTGATTAAGAGGCATTTATCTAACAAGTACCTACTATAACCACTGCAATAAACAGACACACGCTTGCTAAATATCACTACGGTATCTGTACTACAGACTATTGAGACAATATAAAAAGTTCACAAATGTTCTGCTCCTCAGAACAATGATCTCTCAGCAACTGCAAGTGGCTGTTTCTACACTAACCAGAGGGACAGCCTACTCATTTTAAGCTGATAGGATACTTTCTTTTTCTTGCAAACAAGGCTAAACATTTTAAATTATTTATTCTTAAGACATCCATCTTACTCTTTATAAAAGTGGGAGGTGGGTGATTGTAATTATTCAGGTAGACCATATTTTTCTTCAAGGAATTCAAAACAGTTCATTAAGACAGTGAATTAGTTTAAATAATTCATTAACCCATTTAATTTTCTATCAAGGTAAACTGAAATTCATGGATTGTGATTTCAGGGAAGACTTGTAAAAATTAATTCTACCAACTACTAAGTTGAGAGAAAAGAAAAAAAAAAAGGCTGCTTTCTTCTTTCTGCTTTTCATTTCTTCTAGTGGGCCTTTTGATAAGTCATAACCATTTTATCTTATCTCTTTCATGTGCTAATGGAGAAAATTTGAAGAGAACTGTTCTCCCATGTATATGTTATGGACACAGGAATACTCAAAATGCACTACCACTCTTCCTGGCTGCTTTGTTTCTATACCTTCAGAAAAGTATAATGAGGGCATACGCTAGAGATGTCAATTTGGAAAAACACACATAGAGCAATCTCTTCTCACCTTTCCTAAAAATAGATATAAACTTCACAACAGAGGATATGTTGAAATTTTTATATGATATGGCTTATGGTGTTGAAATCCTTAAACTATCATATTGAATAAAAAATATATTCATATTTCATTTTACAAAGCAGTTTCACTGAATAATTCAATTGATGTTCACAAAAAACCTGAAACACATTATTATTTACCTTAATTTACCAATATGGGAAGTAGGCTCAACTTGATTGAGAGGCCTGAGAAAAGTTACAGGGTAAGTGAAACCAATTCTTCAATTTCAAGTCCAGTCAGCTTTTTAACCACAGCAAAGATACATGCATGCTTCTATACCACCTTCTATGCGTTTTCACTACAATATCTATTAATTTCTATTATATGTTATTCACTTGTTTTTGAGCTCCAAAAGGGCAAATGTCCCATCCTCTGTCATCCTTGTGGTCCTTTCACTGAATAATCATATCATCTGTAGATGACATCTTATCAGGAGAAATGCTTAGTGTTGGAACTTGGTGCTAGCTCTTAAAGCTTTTATCCTTTGATAGTCATAATGAGCCAGGGTCAAACTCCTTGCTGACTTATGCCACAATGGTTACATAGACAGATAAACAGAAATTAGATAAGTAAGTAGGTAGAGAAAGAGAAAGAGAGAGGAAATTATTAGTGCAATAACAATTTAAAATGCCTCACAAAACTAACAAAAAGTATTTTTTCGTAGCACTTTGATGGCTAAACAGAAGGCTAGTGGTTCAACTCTACCAGCCACTCCTCAGAAAGAAGGCTGGGCAATCTACTTCCGTAGTGATACCACCTCGAAAACGCAAGGAGGGGTCACTATGAGTTGGATGCAACTCGACGGCAGTGAGGTTTTTTTTTTTTATTATTATTATTTTTATTCCTCTTGTAACCAATAAACCATTCACTTCCTCCCATTTATATGCCCTCAATATAAACAGCATTTCCACTGGAAACCATGATTTTCATATTGGAAATCACTCATTGAATAATAAAATAAATAATTCTAGGCAAGTGTACTACTGTAAAAGCATCTTTATTGGATGACGAAGAGAAATAGGAAAAAAGCTTTCTCAGAGATGGTAAAACATTTTCAATGATATCATGTTCTAACTGGTTATGATATCTGACAATAGTCATAAAACTGACATTTATTCATTAAAAATAATATTTTAAAATATCTATCATTCTTTGAGTAGCATATAATGTGGAAACAGACAGTAGCATGCCCCCTGTCTCTTTAAATAAGTCTTCTACAAATACAATCAGATTCTACTTATTTGCTTGGATGACTTTTCTCAACATAAATATCAAAGCATTTATGAAAACATCATCCCCAAAGGAGTATGGAAGAGAAAATGAAGCCATGGTATTGCAACTCTGTAATTCATGTTTTTTCCAGAGGGGACTGAGGTAAAGCAGAAGTCAAATGAGGCTTGTCTCTTAACTTTTAATTGGGTTGAAGAGATTAAAAGCTACAATTCCTCTCCAAACCATTAGACATGACATACCTAGCAGATTTACCATTAGATATAAAAGATATAATAAACTATACACACACACACACACACACACACATCCATCAATCAAGCACAGTCTGGTATGCATTTAATATTTAATACATATTATTTACCAGGTATTAAGTAATTATAGATAAATTATGCTAAAGTGTGAGATAACACACAAAAGCACATGAAGTAAGACATCAACAAATAATATACTGGCATAGTATATAGGCATAATATATTAAGAAAATAAAAAGAAAGCCACAGACTCAGAAAAAATATTTATAAAACACCTATCTGATAAAGGACATGTATCCAAAATATACAAAGAACTTTTAAAAATTAACAGTAACAAACAGCCCATTTACAAAATGGGCAAAAAATGTGAACAGAAACCTCACCAAAGAAGATACATAGATGTTAAATAAGCATTGGGGAATATGCTTAATATCATATGCCATGAGAAAATTGAAAACTGAAACAAAAATAAGATGTCACTACAATCCTTTAGAACAGCTAAGATCCCAAACACTGACAGTATCAAACGCTGGTGAGACTGTGGAGCAACGGGAACTCTCATTCATTTTTTATAGAGATACAAAATGGTGAAACAGTACAATCACTTTGGAAGACAGTCTGGCAGTTTCTTACAGAGCTAAACATAGATTACCATACAATCCAGTAATTGTGCTCCTAGTATTTAGTCAAATGATATGAAAGCATTCAAAACAAATAAACAAACTCACTGCCATCGAGTCATTTCCTACTCATAACAACTTCTCTGTGGGTTTCCGATGCAGTTATCTCTACAGAAATAGATTACCCAGTCTTCCTTCTGATGAGTGGCTGGTGGGTTTGAACCATCAGCCTTCTGGTTAGCAGTCACAAGCCTTAGGCACTACACCACCAGAGCTCCATCCACATAAACACATGAACACAAATGTTTAGAGCAACTCATACTACCCAAAAATGAGAAGTAACCAAAATGTACCTTAGTAGATGAATGGATAAGCTAACTGTGGCATATTATGGAATTCAGGAATAAAAATAAATGATCAAGCCACAAAAGACATGGGATAACCTTAAAAGTATATTGCTAAGTGAAACATCTTATCACATATTATAGTTTACTGCATGCAGTATGATTCCAATTATATGACATTCTGGAAACGGCAAAACAATGGAGATAGTGAAAAGGTCAGCAGTTGCCAGGGGTTCAGGAGGAGGGAAGAAGAGAGGGATGAACAGGAGGAGCACAGAGCATTTTTAAGACTGTTAAACTGTTAAACTATTCATTATGATACTATAATGGTGAACACATGACATTAGGCATTAGTCAAAATCCACAGGACTGTACAACACAAACTGTCAACCCCACTGTAAAGGTCAGACTTTAGTTAATAATAAAGTATCAGTATTGATTCACCAATTAAAACAAATGTACCAGGGGAATCCATCACTCTGTCAGTTCCTCATACTATGGTGGCTTATGTGTTGCTGTGAGGCTGAAGGCTATCCCACTGGTATTTCAGATACCAGCAGGGTCACCCATGGTGGACAGGTTTCAGTAGACCCTATTCCAGACTACGATAGACTCAGAAGGAAGGGGCCATCCACTTCTCAAAGTATTAGAGTGCTAAAAGCACTCCTTATAAATAGCAGTAAAACACTGTTTCATATATTACTGGAAAACTTCACGAATAGCCCTAAAACATTGTCCAATATAGTGCTAGATAATGAGCCCCTGAAGTCAGAAGGCACTCAAAAAATGACTAGGGAAGAGATGCCTCATCAAAGTAGAGTGGACCTTAATGACATAGATGGCATAATGCTTTCAAGGCCTTCATTTGCTGATGTGGCACGACTCACACTGGGAAGAAACAGCTGCAAACATCCATTAATAATCAGGACATAGAATGTACAAAGTATGAACCTAGGAAAATTGGAAGTTGTCAAAAATGAAATGGAACGCATAAAGATTGATATACTAGGCACTGTTGTTATGTGCCATCAGCTCATCTCCAACTCATAGCTCATACAACAGAATGAAACACTGCCTGGTCCAGTCCCAGCCTCAGTATTCCTACTATACCTGAGCCCATCACTGTAGCCACCATGTCTATCCATCTCATTGAGGGCCTTCTCCTCTTTCATTGACCCTACACTTTACCAAGCAGGACATCCATCTCCAGAGAATCCTTCTCCCTTCTGACCAGGACTGATTTATTAGTCCTTTTATCAGTCTATGGTACTTTCAGCACTCTGCCAACACCACAACTCAACAGCATCAACTCTTCTTTGATCTTCCTTATTCATTGTCCAGCTCTTACATGCTTATGAGGCAATTGAAAATACCATGACTTGGGGTAGGCACATCCTAATCTTCAAGGAGATATCTTTGCTCTTGAGCACTTGAAAGAGGTCTTTTGCAGCAGATTTGCCCAATGCAATATATCATCTGATATCTTGACTACTACTTTCATTGGTGTTGATTGCAGAACCAAGTAATATGAAGTCTTTGACAACTTGAATCTTTTCTCCATCTATCATGATGCTGCTTATGGGTCCAGTTGTGAGGATTTTTGTTTTATTTATGTTGATGTGTAATCCATACTGTAGAGTGTAGTCTTCAATTTTCATCGTAAGTGCTCTAAGTCATCCTCGTTTTCAGCAAGCGAAGTTGTGTCATCTGCATATCACAGGTTGTTAATGATTCTTCCCTCAATCCTGATGCCACATTCTTCTTCATATAGCACAGCTTCTTGGATTATTTGCTCAGCATACAAGTTGAATAAGTATGGTGAAAGGATACAACCCTGACACACTCCCTTCCTGATTTTAAACCATGCAGTACCCCTTGTTAGTATTTGAGTGACAGCCTCCTGGTCTATGTACAGGTTCTTCTTAAGTACAATTAAGTGTTCTGGAATTCCCATTCTTCTTATAGTTATCCATAATTTGTTATGATCCAAATAATAAAATGCCTTTGCATAGTCAATAAAACACAAGTAAACAGCTTTCTGGTATTCTTTGCTTTGAGCCAAGATCCATCTGACATGAGCTTTGATATTCCTTGTTCCCCATCCCCTTTTGAATCCAGCTTGCATTTCTGGAAGTTCTCTGTCAATATACTGCTGCAACTATTTTTGAATTATCTTCAGTAAGATTTTACTTGACTGTGATATCAATTATATTGTTTGATAATTTCCACATTCTGTGGAATCACCTTTGAAATGGGTACACATATGGATCTCTTCCAGTCAGCTGGTCAGGTAGCTGTCTTCTGAGTCTCTTGGCATAGCCAAGTGAGTGCCTTCAGCAGGGCATCCAATTGCTGAAATAGCTCAGTGGGTATTCCATCAATTCCCAGAGCCTTGTTTTTCACCAATTCCTTCAGTACAGCTTTGACTTCTTCCTTCAATACCATTAGTTCTTGATCATATGCCACCTCCTGAAGTGGATGATCATCTACCAATTTTTTTTGATACAGTGATTCTGTGTATTCCTTCCATCTTTTTTTTTTTTTTTTTTTTTAATGTTTCCTGCATCATTCAACATATTGCCTATGGAATCTTTCAATATTGCAATTTGAGGCTTAATTTTTTTCCTCAGTTCTTTCAGCTTGAGAAATGTCAAGTAGGTCCTTCCCTTTTGGTTTTCTAACTCCAACTCTTGGCACATTTCATTATAATAATTGACTCTGTCTTCTCAAGCTGCTCTTTGAAATCTTTTGCTCAGCTCTTTTATTCTGTTGATTCTCCTATTTGCTTTAGCTACTCTCTGTTCTAGGGCAAGTTTCAGAGTCTCCTCTGACACCCATTTTGGTCTTTTCTGCCTTTCTTGCCTTTTTAATGACCTTTTGCTTTCTTCAGGGATGATGTTCTTGATGTCATCCCACAATGATTCTGGTTTCTGGTCACCAGTGTTCAATGCATCAAATCTATTCTTTAGATAGTCTATAAATTCAGGAGATACTATGAATTGTTGTTCTTGTTGTTGTTATGTGCTGTTGAGTCAGACCCGAGTCATAGTGATCCCTCCTTGGGTTTCTGAGGTGGTGTCACTATGGAAGTAGATTGGCCAACCTTCCTTCTGAGGAGTGGCTGGTGGGCTTGAATCACCAGCCTTCTGGTTAGCAGTCAAGTACCTGAGGCACTATGCTACCAGAGCTCCTATACTAGGAATTAGTGAGCTGAAATGGACCGGTTTTGGCTCTGCTGGGAATGACAAATTGTAGAGGAATGGCATGGCACCAATCATCACAAAGAACATTTTAAGATCTATCCTGGAGTACAATGCTATCAGTGATAGGATAATATCCACACACATACAAGGAAGGCCAGTTAATATTACTATTATTCAAATTTATGCACCAACTACCAGACCCAAAGATGATGAAACTGAAGATTTTTTACCAACCTCTGCAGTCTGAAATTGAACAAATACAAAATCAAAATGTATTGATTATCACTGGTGACTGGAATGCAAAAGCTGGAAATAAAGAAGAATGACCAGTATTGGAAAATATGGCCTGGGTGATAGAAATGCTGCTGGAGATCACATGATAGAATTTTGTAAGACCAATGACATATTCATGGCAAATA